TTTGCATTTTCTTCTTTTTACAACACTTCTCTTTAACTTCCCTTCTTGTTGTTTGTTTGTCAGCTACAAATCTTATAATCGATATTTAACACACTTCTACCTGTCCAATCCATCTGAAATTTTGCACACTTGCGTAAAGTTGGAGACAATGCATGAATCAATTGACAGAATAAATAATTTTGAGAATTTAATTTTTTTAAATAAGAAAGAAATTACAAATTTATTTTTTTAATATATGAAAATAAAATTAGAAATTCATTGTACATGTGTAACATTGGAGACACTGGATTCTTTAGAATTAAGTGTTGTCTTGAAAAAGTAATTTTTAAACGCATATTATTTCGATAAATTTTACTTATTTGGCTACACTGAACAATTAAAATTTCCACTATACGCCATCTTAAAAAAATTATCTCCTCCTATGATGTTTAAAGCACAGCATTGAGAGATATAGTATCTTGCTATATATTATCTAAAAACAGTATCACGCAATCATCTCGTCACTTTTTTTATTTCGTTATAGTTTGGATTATATATTTAAAAATTTTGTTTTCCAACTAATTTATGGCACATCAACGTAGTTTTAAACAGGTCTGCTCAATGGGTCACGCCTTACGGGAGCTTTTGAATAAAGAAACTCTTTCATTTACATAATGAAGTACAATGCAAATTTTCTCACCACTGATTATCAGAACGCAAAGATTAAGTACGACCAGCTCTGACGTGGGTGTCAAATTGATTGTAGCCGTCAGCTGAGCTGCTGATCTCGACTTGCGTACTGACACCTCTTATAAGATTTTCACTCAGACGTCAGGGTGAGTTACGTGCGGTATATATAGTGGCAAGATGTGAATACTTAGTAAAATATCGTGATTTTGTGAATATATTGATTTGTCATGTGTAGGTATTTACTTTTATTTTCTGTTGTAGGATCGTGCGTTTATTCTCAGAACTCCGTACTCTAGTTCTCTCCACGCAAGTTAGCTCTTCGATTTTGCATTATTTTTTAAGAGATCCATTTTGTTGATTTGTTAATTCGCCTAATACAAATTTTCACTTCTCTGAAAAATCGTTAGTTTTGATTTGTTTTTCTATAATTTGCCGTTTATCTATAATACGTGTAATTAAGCTTGTTTGAAATGTCAATCCGCCCAGTCCAAGCCATTGCTAATTAAGCTAATAGGGAAGTGTCTTTTAATTTCCGATCATTGATGGGAGTGACAATTAAGACCATCCGAACATTAGAGGTGACGCAATTGGTTACTCGGAAGTCAAGGCTAGTTAGTCACATTTACGGACGGATCATTTTGAAATTTGCTATAATCTGTAAAACAGAAATTTTAGACTTATTTGTTCGTGTAAATTTTTCGAAAAAAATATGAAACAAAACGCGAAATTCAAAGAAAATGTGCAAAATAAGAGGACGAAAATTGAAAAAAAAAATGAAAAATATAACCCCATCTCTAATAATAAGAATTTGGAAAAAATGTGCATCACTCGCTATATATGGTCTTTACAAAGAACGCTATGTCTCTCGATGTTGTAGCTCAGTAATTGAACGAAAATTTTACAGTGCCCACATTTTTAGCAATTTCATTTGAATATCAAGTTTTCTTTCATTTTTAGAAAAAATTACAGGAACAAAAGTTTCAGATTTTTGTTTTACATATGTACAGCAAGTTTCAAAGTAATACGTCCATAAATAAATGTGTTTTTAGGGATTGGATAAAAAAATCCAATTATCCGTTTACGGATCAAAATAATTTTATCTAGACATTGAGCAGACCTGCTTTGAACTACGCTGATTGGTTCCCCCTAAAGTGGGGACCCCCGCATTGGAACTACCATCAGTCTGTTTTAAGGAAGGGTTAGACCCCCAGGCAAGGGAGTTAGACCCCCGAGCAAGGGGATTAGGTATAGGCCCCGCCCCCTGATTCAACGATTAGCTTTTGTTTCTTCTGTTATTCTTCAAAATGCCGGCCGTAATCCAGAAATTAGATGGAAAATAATTTTTTTTTATATATCGAACGTTTTGAAAATATTTCCTATACTCACGATCTGATGAACTCGCCTAACTTGTGTCAAAGTACACAGAAATAAATGTCACATGAAGTGTACAAAAAACGTCTCCTCCTTAAGAAGCCTCATGTTCAACTGAATCGATACTTGGGAGCAAGCAACCTGCATTCCAGCGGAATTTCCGGAACATTCTACGGAAGTCGAAAATAATAACTGTTTAACAACCGAATAGATTACTCAAGTATCTATTCAAATTCGGTCAATTATATCCGAACTATACACAGATTTATATCTACTTTCAATCAAAGTTATATTCAAAGATATATTCATATTGGGATGATGCAATCGATTAGGCTGTTGAGATTTTAATGCTGCGGATCGTGCAATTCTAGATTGAGTCTTTGATCTAATTCCGAACGCAGTTTAACTTCTTACTATTCTTTTTGTATTTCTCAGTGCAACTTTCTACCATTTCTATTGATTTCCTCTACATTTTAGTTTGATTTCTTCAAACCGAAAGTACATACACTTGGCACTTAAAACCTTAGGTTAGTTGCTGCATCATTGTGTATCTATATAAGGACAATGATAAAATTGTGTTGTGAGACATGATTGGCCTCCGGTTTGGTCTTAACTACGTTTTTTTTGTTATTTGTTTTGTTTGTTGTTATATGAGAATCAGTTGGCAAACTTTTTGTTTTTGAAATGACACCCACAAAGGAATTTATAATGATGTAAGGTGAGGCAGGTTTTCCTTGCCAGAATTGTTTTCTTATAAATTAATAACCCTAACTATAAGTAATACTCTTAGGTAATATTAATAATACAACTTGATTTCTTTTATGTATATTGTATATAGTATGTTTAATTAATGTCATAGTAATATAGTACTATTTCAGAAACTCGAGGGTATATGCAGAAAAGAAGAGGCTAACTGAACAAAAAGCTGTCTACACTCTTTAATTCACAGGAGCCTTGGAAATTAGCGCAGTATCAAAAGTTAATGGGACTTCAAACATGTTGTATTTTACTTCTGATGAGGTCCTACAAGCAGGCTTGTCTCCTGATAATTCCTTTGCAACTATCACAATTTTAGGAACTTCATAAGAGTCCTTTTGACACAGGACAGCATAAATGACTTGCAATTTTTTAAAGTTCTTCATATGACACCTTGAGAAAATTCTTAAAGCTCAATTTTGATTCATTATGTGGAACAATGCAGAGCAATTCATTTTAAATTAATTTCTGTTGAACCAATGATGACAATGATAACATTATTTGCAGGCTGAGGCTAAATTTTGTTATTATTCTCCATTCCTCTTGCGGATTATGACGATCTTTACATTTTTCAGGTGCGGTTCTGATCAGCAGCTGAATACTGAGGTCTGTCCTAACCTCGACGGTGTGGTGTCCTCTTCCTTGACGGTATGGTGTCCTCTCCCTTGACGATGTGGTGTCCTCTCCCTCGACGGTGTGGTGTCCTCTCCCTCGACGGTGTGGTGTCCTCTCCCTTGACGGTGTGGTGTCCTCTCCCTCGACGGTGTGGTGTCCTCCCCACAACAGTCTGCCGCAGTTAACACGTGGCAACCACTACACAAAAGTCGTTTCACTCGTTTTTGATCGCAATGTTTTGGTAGTACGCGTCTCTTGAAGGGTAAAAATAAGACACTGATATTTCATGACCGTAATGTTTCATGACCGTAATGTTTCATGACCGTAATGTTTTAGGTAATTCATGACCGTAAACTCAGACGCTTTACACATAGGACACTGTACCTGAGACTTCTTTATTCGACTTCCACTACTTAACTACCTCCTATCCAAATATTCTACCTAACGAGACGTTCTTCTCGAAAGAACCATTTGTTTAGTTTACAAGTACGACCATTAATGAGAAAAAATATTATCAAAACCAATTAAGAAAATAAAGATGAGCTCAGAAAACTTTAGAGTAGCAAAATACAGATTCAAATAAACAAATAATTATTGTATGGTATGGCGATCATAACATTCCCTCCCCCGCCAAGAGTCGGGACCGACTTTAAAAATTACACGGAATATTATAACCCATTGGATATGATATCACGTACATTTGTTCCACGTAAGTAATTACTAAACTGATTTCCACAACTACTATATACACGTACACTTATAGGTACGCGTTGAGTCCCACAGCGAACAACAAACAGTACATTTTACATATGCACTAACACTACAATACAAGATTCATACAAAAAAAAGTAGGATCAACAAACTTCATTCAATTTACTCCTAGCAGTCGAACATTAGCGAGAATATAGAATACATTTTCCTGGTCTAATATATTTATATATTTCGATAATCTCAGGCCTGATTTTATCAACCGAGGTTACTATAGAACGTCTCTATACAGCAAGAATATTAAAGGCATGATAAAATCGTATTATACATCAAAATATTATAGATTACATCAAATGCTGTCGCTGACGATACTAAAAACTCTTTTCTATACGTAAGGTCCTCATTTTACAACATTTCTCTTCAACTTCACTTCTTGTTTGTTTGTTTGTTTGTTTGTTTGTCTGTCGGCTATAAATCTTATAATCGATATTTGACACATTTTTACCTCTCCAATCGATCTTAAATTTTGCACACTTGTGTAAAGTTGAAGACAATGCATGAATCAATTGACAGAATAAATAATTTTGAAAATAAAAAAAATTCATTTCTGATATTAAAAAAATTTGAAAAAAAAATATTTTTGTCTCCTACATAACTTATAATCGATATTTAACACACTTCTACCTGTCATATCGATCTGAAATTTTGCACACTTGCGTAAAGTCGGAGACAATGCATGTATCAATTGACAGAATGAATAACATTGAAAAATGTAAATTTTTCATTTATGTTATAAATAAAATGAAAAAATTCATTTTTTAATATTTGATAATAAATTTATCATTTCATTGTACATGTGTAACATCGGAGACACTGGATTCTTTAGAAGTGTTGTCTATAACAAGTAATTTTTTAAACGCATATTATCTCTTCAGAGGTTCTTCTCCGCTACAGCACGTCTTTGAGCGTAACTCTGACAGGAGTAGATTGCTGCAGTCCCTGCCAACTCAGTTTTGATATGTCGGACGCTTCGCCGTCTAATAGCTCTTCTGCTGTCCCAGTCGAGCTACCGGTACTCAGTCTCCGTAATGTATCAAACCGTATTTCTTTACTGCTTCGTCTTCGTGAATACCTATATGGGTTAGCTGATAATGAAGCTTGAATACTATATCTACCATGAGTAGAAAAGGCAAAACCGGCACATAGGAAAGATTGTTCTTCCTTACCACACTGACAAACTCTTGACATACCGCTTAAATCTAAACAAACAATTTTGCTTTTAAAATTGTACGGTCTCTGACGATGGCAGCTTCTTCTCCAATGATCTGATGTCGAAATCTTTGTTCTGAATAGCGTTCACATTACCATGCGAAAAGACAAAATTTTCAGCAATCTTATCTTCGCCGTTTGAGTTTGCGTCATCCCTATATTGTTCTGGGCTAGAATTGTCAGATGCTGTCGAAACGGCAAGCGCCAAGATAGCGAGTCCTACACGGTGGACACAGATTGATTTATCCTGACAAGACTTTCTTATGGGACAATTTTCAAATTGTTGGTCCCTTCCTCTGACATTAATACATGAATCTTGACTATTCAAATTAATTTCATTCCAAATCAAGAAATTTGCTCACAATAAAACAGCAAGGCATATCATCATCGTTCAAAATAGCGAATGGTAATTTTTCATTTATTTCAAATCCATTCATTTTACATTCAAACTTGACTGCTCCCCCTTAATATTGCCTTTGGAACATTAATTCCTACCAATACGTTGTTATTCAATTCGTCGAACTCTAACCCTTGATTGTTTTCTGCTAAAAACTTTACTATGCCTTTCCCTATTAGTTAAACTTGCGAGCCAGTATCGATCAACGCACAGATTTTGATATTTCCTACTTCTAAAATGCAGCTAATACCTACAGACGAATTGTGCTTGCATTCTGTTAAGCAAACCACCGCAACCGTATCTGGTTCGACATCAACGGTAGGTTCTACTTCTCGTCTGATAGGTTCCTGGGTTACACCGTGCACAAGATTAACTAACTTACTATTAACTAAACTAGTTGAATTTTTACTGTTCATTCTGCACGTAGCGGGGTTATAACGGATTCCTGAAGTACACTGGGGAAGAATCTTAGGGTCTTCGTTCGAATACTTTTCTCTTTTGTAGACTACTGGCCACTGCATACCGTGATGCACCCATATTTCTATCTTGAATAATTCACAAGCTACACTAATTAACTCTTCCCAATGTAACTCTCACCTACTAGCTTTTGAAGATTTCCTAATATCTCTCGTATTCTTGATGTTAAATTTAACGGAGTTGTATTCGAGTGCATCTACCAATCTCTCACTAGTTACCAAGTAATTTTTAGACACATATAGGTTGTCAATATCAAATTTCAGGTCATTCAGGCCTATTAGTAACGCAACAAAGAATGAATTTCATCCCTCATCTATTTTCATCGCCCTAATTCTGCTAGGTATACTATCTCCAAGTTCCATATCTTCACCATCTGCATTGGGAGCGCTATACTAACCCGTGACATTGCGTCTGCTATCTCATTTTCTTTCCTTGGTCGGTACTTTATTTCAAAGTCTAATTCCGATTGATCATTTAGCGTGCACTTAAGTCTAGAAATTGTAATTGCCATATTATGCAAATAACATACAGGCTTTTGATCTGTAAATAAAATGAATCTTGTACCTACAATGAACGGTGAAAAATTCTTCATACCCCATCTAATGGCTACTAATTCCCTCTCTAATGTCGGATATCTTGTCTGGGCCGGATAAATGTAGTTGACGAATTACATACAACTATACTTTTCTTATTGCAGTTGGACTTGACAATCCTCAGCCCCTACAGCCGATGCGTCAACGAATAATTCGACCGGTGCTGCCCCCTTCCGAATAATCTGAAAACGAGAGCGTCACCTCACCTAGCAGTTTCTCCCTCAACTGATTGAATGCGGCCTTCATCTCGTTATTCCACGTCTACTTAACCTTCTTGTTGCCCCCTGGCAGTTCAGTTAAAGGTTTTTCTAAGCTGGAACAATCTTTTAGAAATCTCCTACCGAAATTAAATAACCCCAAAAAACTGTCTCAAATCTGTTACATTGGTCGGTCTTGGAAAGTTACGAATTTTGTCTGGCTCCTACTCAATCCCCTCTACTCCTATGACTTGACCTAGAAAACTAACCTCACTCCTAAAAATTAAGAGATCTTCACTTAAATACCATTTTGACCTAATGTGTTACACTATTCTGACCCACTTCTCTACTAACTCTAAATGCTCCTCAAAGTTTTTCTAAGAATCAATATGACATCTATATAAACTAACACGTTATTGAAGCGAACGTCAGCTAAAATTCTCTGCATATTTTTCTGAAACGCTCTATCGCTATTTTTGTGACCGAAAGATAAGGTTTTGAACTGAAAGTGACTGTGTAGCGTGCGAAATGCCGTGTATTTTCGGCTGCTATTTTCCAAAGGTACTTGGTAATAACCCTTTATGAGGTCTAATTTAATGAAAATTTTTCTAATATGAGCACTGTATATTTGTTCCTCTAGATCTGGCATAGGAAATTTCTCTGTGATGGTCCTCTCATTGATCTTCCTATAATCTATGCACATCCTAATTTCTCTCTCTACACTACCAAGGCTGGGCTTCTTCAAAACAGGCACTACGGGACTACCGTACTCCATGGCGAGTAACTATTCTCTATTATACTTATTTCTTACAACTCTTCACACTGCCTATCTATTTCCCTATTAATTGGTCCTGAACATTTTCTAGGTCTCTGCCGAATTGGTGCATTATCGCCTAATTCTATTCTATGCGGGATTTCTTCATCCCTGCCTATATCTACATCATTCTTTTTTAAAGCAGCCAGGGTTTTGGCCAACATACGATAAACAGCTGACTTTTGATCCCCATCGATGTTATCTTCTAGCTTAATTTATCGCGTATCTTCCTTCTGACCACATATCTAACGGTTCTTCTCTTGGCTCTACTTCTACTAACGTACTTACAAATCCTAACCTCTTCCCCTCCTTAATTCGGCCTTTCTTGGACTACGTACCTTTCCTAAGCTGTACTGAGCAAGCATAAAATTAACTCTAGAGCAGCTCAATTCGGTATCTTCAGCAGCCACAAATGGTACATCTTCATGCATGACATAAGTAATACTGCCGTCTTCATCAATATAAAAAAATACTGCATCCATTCCTATCCGCTCTAAAAACAATGAGTTTAGACATATTGACACTTGTTTAATACATTGAAAAAATTGTAAACCTAAAACAATATAGAATGTCAGCACATCATCAGGAAGGAAGAACATCATATTCACAGATAAATTTTCCTAATCCTATAGCTTCACATTATGAATTAGTCCTATCAATTGTTTTTACCTTGATACTCCCCAAACCCACGATGACATTTTTTAATCTTTCGTCAAGAACTCTTTCACATATGTCACAAATGCTCTTCTTAATAATATTCACACCAACTCCACTATCAATTGCTGCACTCAGTTTCCTATCCTTAACAGTAAACGGGATTTTAGTCAATTTTCCCGGTAACAAATTTAATAAATTAAAGACTTGAAATACCTGGGAAGTGCTCACCTCCATCATGCCGGGTGCATTTGCAAAATAACCGAATATCTCTTGCCGCTTTTCAGATCGAAAGGATTGCTGTTGATATGATTGTTGTGGTTGATCTTGGCAAGGTTGCTGGTGCGGAAGGTAGAAGGGTTGCTGATGCGGAAGGTAAAAGGGTTGCTGGTGCGGAGGGTGAATGGGTTGCTGTCGATGTTGAACGAGTTGTTTTTGATGTTGAACGGGTTGTTGTCGATGTTGAACGTACAGCGTCTGAAATACATATTGAAGCTCATTTATCAACGCCGCAAAGCGATTACGCCATGGGTTCATATGCTGTCTCGAGTGGTTGGAGGTCTTCCTACGTACTGCTCCAGACATTCCTCCATCTGTGCCGAAGCGATCTTGTTTCCCGACAGTCTACGCTGTTGAGGATAACTTGCAATTTAGGGCCTTCTAAGATCTTTCTGGTTGGAGTATCGTTGAGGATTTCTGTTGACTTCTATTCTTGTTTGATGCTTGTGGTTGCGATTTGTACTTCTGGTTTTGTGGTTGACGTCTAAAGTTCCTCGGACAGTTATTAAGAAAATGGTCGTATGATCCACAAGAAAAACACAAATTCAATTTTTTCTACAGTTAGTTTTGACATGACCAATCCCCACACAATAAGCACATGTTGTGTTCCTATCCATAAGTTGTTGAGGTGGTCTAGTAAAGTTGTCATCCGGTTTTCAAGTTGTGCACTTTTCTATCGCACTGACAAACTCTGCTTTTTGGACAGTCCGATATTTATAATGATGTTCTCCGTATCGGTCGTTTTCACTTCTCCACTACTCTCCACGTCACTCACACAAGCAAATTTCTTCAATTCCTCCCACTTCATTTTCTAATTCTCCATCTTCATGTTCATTACTTGGTTCCTAACTATTCTTTTAGCATTTGAGGGTAACAGAGATATGAAATTCTACGAAAGTGTTTTACTCGTCTGTGTATCTTTTTTAGGAAAAGCCACGCTGAATAGCTTCTCTGATCTAGTTGCCAGCAAATAAAAACTTTCACCACTGATGTACTCAACTTTGAAAAAGTTGCTCCGGTTTTCTCTTTCGCGGCAGCTACTCTTTGTTGTACCATTTCGCCAATTTCCTGGTTAGACTGTCATAGGTGTCGTCGACAGACAACGGATTTGAACGCTCGTAGCTTCTCTCCGTGTAATTTGGCTTCCAACTCTCCTATCCAAAACAATGACATTCCTTTGAAATTCTCCCGACAACACGTTACAAACATTCTAAGATACTCTTTCAAACTCATACGTGAATCTTCGTCAAAGTTAGAGAATGCTGACGTCTTTCTCATATTGTAGCTGCGCTATATACTTTCGTCTTTAGTTGTCCAGGTTCACGCTGGTGAAGAGTAAGATGCGTGGCATTTGCACCCGTCTTTTAGAACGGCGTTTAGAGTGGTCACTGAAGCGCGAACCATGATCGTATTTGGGGTTGCTGGTGTGTATCTGAGTATAAGTATACCACTAAATTTATTGTAACGTTATGGTCAACTCGTTCGTGCTTGTTCTTAAATTATCGCATTTATTTTTTGCTGATTTCGTTCTAAGTGACGGATAAGTTTATTGACTCAGTCGTTTCCCTAATTGAAATAAGATATAAAATCACCCGGAACTCTTGACTCAGGGTGCCCTGTGATTTATTAAGATTGTAATATCGACTTGTAAATGTTTCAATTGTAAAGTGTCTTGGGTATATACCGACATGTTGCCTGATCGATCTTTATTCTGTCGCTGTGGATGTATTGAGGTAGGATCTAAATTTATTCGCTTGTGTCCTGTTATTTCAGGTGGATGTGGGATTAAAATGCATTTCTGTCCTAGCGTTTTTAACGTAAATTGAATTTGAAGATGGTGCTGGAGCGGAGACTTGGCGGGGAACATTGTCGCCAATGACCAGTGACGCCTAAATTTTTGAAAGTCTCTTGCTAAAGACTTTTGAATCTCGACTGTAATGGAAATGATGCAGATTAGTGTCTGCTGAATTAATCTGACTACAGCCGCTCTGATTTTGGGACGGAGTCCAGGTTTCCTGTGCAAGAATTTTGGAAGGAAGCTCTGATGGTTCTCTCCACCTTTGGTCCTGTTTTATAGTGGTGTTGATAACTCGTGTGGTAGTTTTAAAGTAATTATCTTATTGGTAGGGGGTAGTATATAATCACGTTTTCTAAGAGGTTATCAGCTTCTCTAATGAAATGCAGCAGCCTGGATTTGCCAACTTATTTCGAGGTTGTCCAATTTTTTTATTTTTCACTATCCTTTTGGGGTTAGCATAAATTTGTTGGAAGCTCTCCCACAACATAAAATTTGGTGGCCACTATATGGACTTTGTCTGTCGCGGTGTTCAATCATAGACGTAATACTGTTAGTTTGCCAAATTCATTGTTGCTAATGCTGAAGTTAATTATAATGATGGCGTGAAGCTGTGCCAGAGTAATTATAACTAGATTGCTTCTAGTTCTAGAAAAGACTAGACTATTCTTTGAAATAAACTGAAATAATTATTGATCACTGTGTATTAACAGTATTGTCGCATATTCATGTTGAAAGCGGGCTGTATAGTCAGGTTCATCATGGAAAATGAGTCAATCTCTTTGCCTAATCTTTTACGGGCTATCTATTTTCTGTGATATGTCCGACTGTCGGAGAATAGTGCAACGTCTTGGGAGGGAGGAGTGTAGCGAACCAATTTTGGGTCGCGCTGTTAGTTTCAAGTCGCCGCAGTTCTCCGACTAAGACTGAAGCTGAAAAGTTTAGGAACGCATCTTTCGTTGGGCGTGGGGATCATTAGTCTGTAGCTGGGCTCCACTCGGAACTCTTTTCATTGACCGTTTGTTTGCATTTTCGCATGCTGTAATTGTATTTCCATTACCATGACCATTGTGTAAGCTCATAATCAAAGGATTAACCAAATACGTTACGTGTCCCTTTACTATATCGCACTCTGTAATTCCTCAACCTCGTATGTAAGGACCCGCGGGCAGAGATCCTTGATGTTTGAATGTAGCTAGTCGTCCCGCTACAATAACAAGTATTCCTACTGCTTCAATCAACTGCGTGAATGTGTCCGTGCGTCTGCGTTGCTTATTCTTCGATTGGGGTTTGCTGGTTTTCTTGCTTGATGTGTCATCTTCGCTGTTGGAATTTCACTTAGCGTGTCCTTTGGGTTGCTGGTTGAGTCAGTGTCAGAGTTTCGTGAGTTTACTGATGTTTTCATGTATCTTTTCTTTGGGATCCTTTTCGTGTATATTTTTTTATTCTCCCTTGGCTACACGGCCCTTTTCACTCTTCATTTCATTTTGCTGCTCTTCTAGTGCCTTTACTGCTAAATCAAAGTTGTTTGCTTTAACACGGAGTAGCTCGTCTCTAGTTTTGGTGGAAATAATGCCTGTTCTTGTTTTTACTGCTGTCATAAATTTATCAATATGCTTCAAGTTTTCTAATATACAATCCTCTTCTTCTGCCTGGCGTAAGTCAAGGGACGCCGCCATGATGAAGAAATGTAAACGAATTTATGAAGAAAATATATAATGGCATGACTATGAGTGTGAAGACACAAAACACTAATAAACAATCAACAAATAACATTGTGTTAATTTTACCTGTTTTTTTTTTGTTTACTGGAGCTGTACTGGTACTGTCTTAACTCTCACTTCATGCAATGGTCACGGTACCAATTTATGTCGTTGCGCACACGCTGCCGCAGTTTACACGTGGCAACCACTACATAAAACCCATTTGTGATCGTAAAGTTTTCGTAGTAAGCGATTCTTAAAAGATAAAAACAAAGATACTGATAATTCATGACCGTAAACTCAGACGCTATACACATAGGACACTGTACATGAGACTTCTTAGTCGACTTCCACTACTTGACTAAATCCAATCCAAATATTCTACCTAACAATACGTCTTTCTCGAAAGAACCATTTATTTAGTTCATACGTAGCACTATTAATTGGAGAAAAATACTATCAAAACAAATTAAGACAATTAAAGATGAGCTCGGAAAACTTCAGACTAGCAAAGATAAATACAAATTCAAATAAACAAATAATTATTGTATGATATGGCGATCATAAGTGTCCTCTCCCTCGACTGGGTGGTGTCCTCTCCCTCGACGGTGTGGTGTCCTCTCCCTCGATGGTGTGGTGTCCTCTCTCCTCGACGGTGTTGGGTCTTTTTCCTCGACGGTGTGGTGTCCTTTTTCTCGACGGTGTGGGGTCCTCTTCCTCGACGGTGTAGGGTCCTCTTCCTCGACGGTGTCATTTGTATATACATCAAACCCCTCCATGTACAGACGCAATTTTATTGAAAGAAAGATTAAATCATGAAATACATGAATGATAACCAAAAATACATGGAAATGTTATAAATTAAACAAATATTATGGCTCACTCCATGCCATGTATGAGAATATTTGTGAAGATAATGTGGTTGTAAGTATCGATATAGAGGAAAAAATTCAAGAAAAGAGATTCACCTGCCCGTAGAGAATTTTAAAATTTTCGAAATCTATTAATTTCTTTTATCAATTTTTGACCAAAAACAACAAATGTGCTTCTTAATGATAATATTAACTGCCATTGAAATACTCCTTATGACCTTATGATGAGTTCGGGACTTCCTAGTCCCCGGTCACGCTGATGCGCCGCCGTTGTCGTCTTCCGTCTCCGAGTCGTCGTCGGATGTAAAGTTAGACGTGTTCCGTCATTTACCCTCCTTTGGGCCAGCTGATGCAAGATGCTGTTGCTTGTCACTTGCTGATGGTAGTTTCCCATTACGGGACAGTCTGGGATCTTTCTCAACCACTTGTCCAGTCGTCTCTTGAATGTTGCAAGGGTGAACTCCCTTCCAGTAACTGCGACAAACAGGAACGATTACGCCGGAAACCATGTTGTCCGTTATTATACAGGTCAGCCTCTTCCATATACCGGACAAGCCTCTTGAACACTACCTTCTCTAAGACCTTGATCACATGTGAGGTCAAGGTCACAAGGTCTGTAATTTTGGGGTCTGTCCCTCGGACCTCCTTTGTGGATTGGCGTTATCAGTCCCACTTTGAGACCCTCAGGGATAATTCCCTCTGTTATCGAAGCTTTCCAGAGCATTGTGAGCGGAGCCTTCAGTGCTCCGACACACTTCTTCAACAGCACTGCCGGAATTCCGTCGGGTCCTGGTGCTGAAAACGTCGCCAATTCTTTGATACTTATTTCCATGTCTTCTGGTCCAAACTCAATGTTCTCCAACTCTCTACCGCCTGGCAGCTCCTGGAGAACTTCAATTTCATTCTCCTCCCTTGAGTAGCGGGGGTTACTGAACACTGATGCTCCCTACGCTTTTTCTTGAAACAATTTAGTGGATAGTACATTATTTTACTTGGGTATGTATAAACTTGATACATACCATATGGATGAAATTTTGAGCGGCCACAAGGCTGTTGATATTTGACTAGACTGGAGAGCTTGCAATCCTGTAAAAAGAAGCTGTCTAAAACGATGCAACCCATGTACATATGACGTGACCCTATACAGCGGCGTATATACAGCGCAGAACCCATTAACGTTGAAAAACTTTTCCTTTTTTCTGACAGCATGGTGAGCCTTCATTGTATTAATTCATTTGCTGTTAAATTTGCAAAAATTCAAGCCTTTCCGTCTGTGTGAGGAACACTACGCTCACTTGAGGAAACTTGCCATAAATGTCCAATTACCTTTTCCCACATTTCAGGCGAACTCAATCCTGCAGATAATCTCACCCGCCCACGCAGTTACAGAGTTCTATTGAAAACCAATTATTACAAGGGTCCATCTCTCGTGTCGGAGGACAATCTCGCAATTTCTGACTTGACCATTTTGTTGCCTTATCGTTTGTGCAGGCCAGTGGATGAAATTGCGTCCAAACAGTCGCGGCTAATTCAGTTCAATGTCCAGCAGATAAACCTTCCTACTTTGTTCCTCTGGAAAAATTTTCAAGCCTTACGAAACTTGTTATATATAATGTGTACAGCATTATTCTGCAATTTAAATTTAAAGTCACGTAAACGTAAAATTCTGGTAGCTAAAACAAATTGCTACATTGCTGCATTATATCCAATTGTTGCTGTTGATAAGAAATTAAAATTTCCTGAAGAGTTGGCTTACCTTGAATCTAGTAATAAAGGTCTACGTAAAATGCCTCAATTGGTCTCACAGCTAAATTTGTTCAAATATAAAGACGGTTTGCTACGCATGCGAAGCAAGTTTGGTCATAATAATGCCTACAGTTGCAAACTAATCTTGTTACCTAAAACCAGCCTTTTGACAATTTTGATCATTAGAAGCATTCACGAACAACTCTGTCATTCAGGCATTTATTGCGTTCTGATGGAACTACGAAAATAATTTTGAGCAATGTATTCCTTGTCGCAAGGTTCATGAACGTCCCATTAAACTTAACCAAAGCCCCTACAGTGACCTCCTCTAAGACCATTTTATTCAGTATTTGTTGATTATATTGGACCTTTTTCAGTGAAGTATGGTAGCTCGAAGGGAAAAGCCTGGCTCTTGATCATTACTTGTTTGTGGAGTCGTGTAGTGAACCTGAATGTTTGTCATACTGCAACGACTGAGGATTTTCTCAGAGCCATTCAGCTTCACATCTTCGAGGACGGTCTGTTCCAATCTTGAATTTCAGATCTGGGCACCCAACTTCAAGCTGGTACTAACTTGATTTCCACCTTTTCAAGTGATTACGATACGCAGCAATTTTTCAACTCTAACGGTATTGATCCAATCAAGTTCCATCATTGCCCTAAGGACAACAGCTCTTTAGGATCGATGGTGGAGGTCTGCGTAAAGCAGGTGAAATATATGATTTATGAATCCATCCGAAATGTCATTTTACAAAAATTGCTGTATTTGAATTTTTGATAGCTTAAGACACTAGTTTAACTAATAAACGTCCAATCGCATTCAAAGAATGCCTCCGCTCCTTGCCTTGTGAAAATGTACCTAGTCCTATCACACCTGAGATTTTGGTGCGCGGTTATGAGACTGGCTCTAAACGTTGTTCCTGATTTGCAGCCGGTTGAGCACGATGACTATATGTATGTTCCTGGGTCTCGTCAATCTGACATCATGTACAACTACGAGCGTTGACGTAAAATCCGGGAGAGAATAATTAACTTGTACCATTCGGAGTTTCTAACCACTCATGTATCGCAGGCGGTGGACAAGCCAGACCGATATCGACCAGTCCTGCACAAGGAATTGCAGCCCGGCGATATTGTCCTCTTGACAGAGAATAATACTAAAATATACCATTTCCCGATGGGCAGAGTTAACAAGGTGGAGCGGGATTCATTGGGCGAAGTGACCGCAGCATATGTTTTCAAAGGAGGTACTCGTGAAACGGTATACCGTCATGCAACCTAGCTTATTCGTTTAATTTCATGTGATAATTTGCTACCTGCCGTGTCTAATGTTTCTCCTCAGGTTGAACATCGCCGTCAGCCTACGCTAATTCATGTAAAGATAGAATTAAGCTATTGTATGAGGATGGATCTGTTCAAATTCAAGAGTTTTTTTAGATTTAATTGCATATATGTTTTGATTTTTGGGAAATCAACCTCGCGCGGGGAGTGTCTAAAACGATGCAACCCATGTACATGTGACGTGACCACATACAGCGGCGTAGCCGACTTCTGCCTTAATCTTCACTTGTGTTGTTAGTCTTCACTTGTGTTGTTGAAGTCGGTCTAGCCGGTCACGGTTCCGGTTACGTCCTTAGATTTAGTGGCCTTAGTTTAGGTTAATATATATATAACTATATGGAACCCGGAAATTTAAACTTTAGTTAATTTGCATACAAATAGTTCTTTGATGGAAGCAGCAAGATACAATTTGATCACGAGTCTTGTCGTGACTGCTCTTATGGTCTCCTTTCATTTACAGCAAAACAAGATAGCAAACTGTTCACGTATGTTCAGATATTTACTAAATATTTCTGTTCAAGTGCTTTCGGTTATCTTTAGTCATGATCTCCATTCATATATGAGCCACGGATCTGGCGGCAATGCACTTTGTCTGACGTCTGTCATCCGACGGTTGTCATCCGACGTCTGTCATCCGACGTCTGTCATCCGACGTCTGCCACACGACGTCTGTCATTCGACGTCTGTCATCCGACGTATGTCATCCGACGTCTGTCATCCGACGTCTGCCACACGACGTCTGGAGTCTGCTAGTAGCGTGCTGGGACTAGCGTGCGCCCTTGATAGTGAAGTTAATCCATGTGATTTGTTATAGTTATTGGCTCACGATCGAGGCGTGCGTGCTGCTGTCCTTGTAATCCTAAAAGAACCTTACATCCGCTAAAACTTCCATAACTGTAACTTATAACGATAAGTTATAACTATAACGGAAACTTATAAATATAACGATAACAATAACTGAAACTTAAAACTTTATCGAACTTATAACTAAAATTGCATTCCTGTTGTGCACTCACAGCTTCACCATCATCAGTGGCTGGAGCGTGCGCGGTCAGAGGTTCCTACAAACCGGAGCCTGGGCTATAGGTTCAACATACGTTAGTGCCAGTTA